CAAAAGAAATTCAGAATACAATTTGTCATTATAATATTATTTCAATGAATTAGCTTTATATTAATTAACATGTACACCAAGTACGATATTATTATATTGAACTTACACAAATCTGTCAACAACAACAACAAATATCATAACAACACTAAATATAGTAAAACACAACAAAACTAATATATATATATATATATATATATATTAAACTGAAGCAGCTGGAACAAACTTCTTTTCCCATTCAAATCGCTTTTATTGCTTATCATATCAGTCTAAGATGATGTCTGAAATTGAGAACTACAACAAACATTAATTCATGAAGTAAAGTGAAATAATTCATAATGACATCAATAATTTGATTCATATAAATATTTTAAAAAGCTGACGAAAACAAATAACTATGTAGCTTTAAAAGCAGTCAACATTCAATAAATATTTTACTTTTTGAACTCTGCAAACAAAATTTAAAAGGCGAAAATACAATGAGCAATTTTGGTTCATGTTAGATATTGAATGCAGTCAGCCATCAATGTTGCCACCATCAATCCAATAACTTCTTTATTTATTCTAGCCTTGGAATCAGTCAACATCCAAATTCCAATAACTACTTTACTTTTTTGTAGCCTGACCTACAAGCAAAATCTAAAATGCCCAAAAATTAGAGAATGAACCTTTCGTGTCCTGTATACATATTAATAATGCAATCAACCATCAGTTGCCAGAAGAAAAAAAATTGTATCTAATTAAAATTCTTATTAACAGGCTAACAGTCAACATTCACTTTTTGAAATTATCAACATATCATAAAAAATCATTAATTGTATCTTCAATTTTTTGAAAGACAAAGAATCAATATGCATCTATAAATATACTGAAGAAAATAGAAAAATAAACTACAAAGACTTCGAGTTTTACTCAATAATAATACCAAAATTGAAAAACAAGTCTTTAAAAAATGGTACTTTTCAACATGATAAGCGAGCTCAAACCTGGAAACATGCACTGGGGATTGCATGTTCTTTAGTTTGGTTGTACTCTGTCCCTATGTACAATGACCAGTCAAAGATTTCAACTTTGGAGTGTGGTTTCCATGATAGGACTGTAAGTCAATTTGTATTTGTTGTACTTTATATATCAACTTTATCTTGACAACATTCATTTTTCAAATGTAGGGGGATCGTATTCACGCCACAGTGAAGTACGAACAAGTTTGACTTTCCTCCCTATTTTGCAAGGAAATATGCTTTATAAAATTAGGACATTCATTATTGTTGAAAATAAAATGACCTACAAAGCAACTATTGCTCCCTACTGAATTTTCTTTGTCCCGAGATCCAATATCTCTGAGTTCAAGGATGGTAGCTTCCCTACAATGATCTATGACTTTATTCCATTTCAAAGACTTGCTGAAGCTGATTCGATTGATGAAACCGTACTCATTGGTATAATACTCTACATAAAGTCCTATATATTTTTTGTTGTTACAAATACTAATGAAAACTTAAAACGAGATGTTATTGGACGCCTTGCTGTGATACCCACCCCGCGAGGTTGAGTATGGCGGACAACAAAGAATCCTGAAGGAAATATTTTTGGAGGATCATGAGTAAATGAATTCAATTCTATCTTAACTTATATAAGTTTGCATTCAATTTAAAATTTTTATTTATATTTTTTTTATAGGAGAAACACAATGTCTTGCACGTTGTGGGGTGAGTATGTTGACTACTTGGTGAATCACTTAGCCAACACAAATGAGGGGGATAGTGTTGTCATTGTTGTTCAAATATGCCGCCCCAAAATGTTTCAAAGACAAATTCGAGTGTCGAACACGTTCAATGTTACCAAACTTATCATAAATGGCGATACTTTGGAAATAAATGAGTTTCGCAACAGGTAATGATGATTTATTTCTCATTCTTTAATTCACTAATTCATCAAAACTAATGAATACTTAACCTCTCTCTTTTAGGTTCAACATTCAAGGGAGAGTTGAGGTACCGATCACCAATATTGATGAATGAGGATATGAACATTCTGCTGCATTAGCGAAAGAGCCTGAAAGCCCAAAGTCAATTTTTTAAGACTATAGACGGACTCCATGCAACTGAAGAAGTACTTATATTTCATCTCTTTCAAATTTTTCACCTATTATCTAAACATAAAATTGACTAATAGTTAATTAATGTTAGGCCGGGAACTACTATGTTTGTGCAAGAATCATTCAGTTTAACTGTGATAGACAATGGAGTTACATTGCATCTAATAATTGTTAATATAAAATGACTCCTACAAATGGGTTATTTTATTGTTCTAGATGCGATAAGGAAGATTTCACGGAAAGCACAGGTTACAAAAAATTTGATTTATACTGCTCTATGATTTTCTTTAATATATCATGTAATTATGTATTCTGTTTAAATTTTTAGGTTCAAAATCACTTTACTGTGGCTGACCAAACAGGAGTTGCTATGTTTCTGCTTTGGGATAGGGAGAGCACCGACTTGATTGAAAACATCGAATAGTTTGAAATCAAAAGTTGATTATGAAGCAGAAGCTAACGATGTTCCTAAGGAGATTGTGAAGTTAGTTCATTTGAAGGTTATTTTCAAGGTAAAGGTTATCCAAAAATTGTGCTCTCTGTGTGGTCCAGGATGATTCATGCGAAAGGAGTTCGGGCTTGTTTGGTCCGGATCTAGTTAGGCCTTGGTTGTTGTTTCTAGATCTAGACTCAGCCGTGTTCTGCTTTTTGTCGGGAACTGTATCGCTTGGTAGCTTTCGATTGTCTATTGGCGGTTGAATAGGGCCTTGTTATCTTACTTTACCTTTTAAGTTTAGTTTGTGCGTGTTGTTTGGTATTTTTGGTTTGTTTTGTGTTTTAGTTGTTGTTTTGATGTCTATTCTCCTGTTTTGGANCACATGTGGGAGTTGTATAGTTCATTGTTTTGTGGGTGTTTATTGTAGTTGTTTCTAAGCTACATCTTTATAGGCCTCATGAATTCAGTTGTTTCACTGTTTGGCTATTTCTAGCTGCTATTGCAACTGCCTTTTTTAGTTTATACTTATTTTCTATTGTTTCAAAGAAAAAAAAACAAAATATGTCTAGCTGTATAAAAAACCAGGCAAAGGAGCTTCTAAGGCAATTGCTTAAATTAAAAAACAAATGAGGTTATTAAAATAAAATTAAACTTTTAGAATAAGATAGAACAGAAATCATTTTCAACTATTTTTTTAAGCTCTTATTACCTACAATATATATATATATATAAACAGATATACTATTTACCAAATTTAGTAAGAAAAAAAGTCAAACAATATTTATTACTTTCTATTTTCAGCAATTTTTCATTTTTTTTAAATTCCTTGCCAAAAATTCGGACTGCATAAATGATTTAATCCTACATTCATTCATTTATTAATTTTCTTTTTAACTAATTGCTAGAAAATCGGTCACCATAAATGCATAGTTCCTTATCACTTTATTTTGGAAAAATCTTATTGCATAGAAAATGTGTTTTCATTTCAAAATTCAAATTTAAAATTTTTTATTAATTATTTAGTTGCCTTAAAATCGGGTTGAACAAAAATTTGGAATCAGGCAAAATACAATACATCTTTTTATATAAATCAAAAATTAAATATATATTTATAATTTATAATTTTGTCGAATTCAAAATTCCGTCTCATTATTTATACTTATTATTCACATCGGGTTTTAAATATATGATAAAATTTTACCAAAATAATTATTTATTGATTTTTCCCCAATAACCGAATACTTTTGTCACACTCTTCGAATAGGAATTCGTTTTCTGAAAGATCCTGGCTAATGTCTAAACTCAATGATTTGAAATTCTGTCAAAACCAAAATCATCCTCCTCAAAAATACTCTTCATCTGCAAAATACGGGTGAACCATGCACTTCGCCATTGATACAGTAATAAAAGGAACATAGGAGTTTGTCACTAGGAGTGACTTGGACAAACAGAAAGGAAGTGGCTTTGGAGACGTTATAGTCAAATCGAATTTCTGAATAAAATTTTGAAATGACACATATTTTGAAATGAATATAATATAATTTATTATCAGTTATGTAAAACGCACGGGATGTGTACTAATTTTACATAGACAGTTTTATGTAATTTTGCACAATTTAAATTTTATATGACATTTTCAATAAATTATATAGGTACATTGTTGCATATTGATTCCATGTTCAAATTTATAAATATTATTTAATATAATTTTTAATTTATAAATATTAATTAATATCGTTTACCCGTGCATCGCACGAAATTCGTACTAGTTTTATAATATTAGGGGCTTATTATAAAACTTTCATTAATTAAAGATTTATCAGCATACAAGCTCTTTCAAACATCCCAATCCACTTCCAAATCGTTATCCAAACCAGAAGTAAACACTCAATCTTGACGCAAGAAAAGTCCACACAGAAGTTGGGCGATAACCTCATATAACAATAGGTCCGAATACGTTTATCACATCCCACGTAAAATAAAGTCATAAAAAACACATAAGTTTATCACAATCTTCAGGGTAATACACACATCGACTTGTGCAATCAAGACACAAGCGCATTCCAAAAACTCAACATCTAAAACCTTCAGAATCAGATAAATGCTGAAAACAGAATGCTCAAAGGCACCATTTTTGGACAATTACAAGTTTTAAGTGGAATCACTTCTTCAGATGAGGGAAACAAGTGTAGGGGTCAGCCTTTGGATGCTTTGCTTCAGCATGTTCCCTGCATTTTACCTCAGAGGTAGTGCACATGAATGTCTGCATACACACCTTGCACTGCATCCATCATCCAAACCCAAGAAAAATATATCAATTAAATAATTCCCAAAATATTAGATGTGAAATGAATCTAAGAAATTCTTAACTTAGAGTTAGAATTGCTTTCTTCCTTGAGTAGAACATCAGAAGCATTAAAAAAAATTAGCTCACAACAAAGGAGTGAAATATGGAAGCAATATGTTCGCATTTCACAGCAGATAATAAAAACAAGCAAAAAACATAAGAAGATAAAAAGAATCAAATCACTTGTGCAGCAGTGGTGAGGATCTAGTGAAGATAATTTCCTATATGGACATGAACAAACTTCTTTTGACAAGATTTTCCTTTCCATTTCATTAAGCCAACTACAGTTCAACACAAAGCCCCGAATGAAGAAAAAATATTTACATCTTCAACTATTATCTCCAACTTATACATAATTTCCAGCAAAAAAGCAGACTCATTCCCACACAAATGTGACTTCTTGAATCAGCCTCCATATGCCAAATTCAATTTTTGGATATTTGACATAATTGATCCTAGTTCTCGCCAAGCAAGCATTATAGTGTTAATCTAGTGTTTGATATAGTTTTACAAAGTACATCCAGTAGGTCCACAATTAAGGGTGTATCCAGCACCTATATTGATCACTCTCTGAAACCAACCGAAATTTATAAAACACGCTAAACGGTCAAAGAAAAGGTAAAGTTTATCTGTATATACATAGGGTATGATACTGATACCACAAACACCTAAATTTCGAAACTAACAAAAGCAAGAGGCTTGGTCAGTTATAACAAGCATGATAGACCTTCAACTGGGCAAGAAGGCCTTATGGTGTTTTGAAGCAATTTCAATATTTAAAATAATTATACAGACGAACAAGTAAGGAAAAGCTTCTGACAATGCCTCCAAACAAAATGATCTTGAGCATCTCCGATGATCTATGGTTTGCTTTATTCCTTTGACACGTGGCAAAAAAAATCTCTTTCTAGATGTAAGACTTCTAGACATCTTTATGCTAAATATTATATTTTTTTTGTTTATCTCTCTCTTCCCCTAGAAATTAATATTTTACACGTCAAATTATTCTACATAACATTAACCATTGAAAGATACAATTTATTATTTTCCTCTCTCCATGCCCTACATCTCAAAATGAAATTGTGCTATGAAGATGCTCTTAGGCAAGACTCAAATAGAATTCTTGGAGACAAATAAAGAATTCAGCTTTTCAATCAAAGCAGCAGCTTTCATGACAACTTGTACAGGTATTCATTAAGATACTAAAAGAATGCATGAACTGGATTATGATTTAAACAAATACATGCACCCAGTATTAGGCTGACGGCTGTAGACCCATCTAGCCATCTAGCTGTCTCTTAGGATGGTTAGTAAAAAAAGAAAAAGAAAATGAAAACAATAATTGTACAAGACAATCAACAAAAGTACAAAACATCTCAATTCTCATCTTACACAGTTTACATAGAATTCCCGCACGGGCAATTCATCAAAGTTAACAAAATTACAAGAATTGATATGAAAGTAAACCACATCAATAAAAAGAAAACAAAAATACCACCGCACACAGATCAGCTAAAAATCAATCAACACTTAAAACTGAATGTAGATTAAATAAAAAATCACTACCTGAATATTCATGGCTTTTTTGTTAGAATCCAACTGGCTTCCTGCACGGATCGGGCGAATCAGAACACAGAAACAATGGAAAACAGTTTGGCGAAAACCAAAATCAAAACAAAGAAATCAAGGAAGCAAACCTTTGGAAGCTTTCGTTTTCTCTAAATTCTTCTCCCGCGCCATCTTGGCTTTTTGGCCGTTGCCACCACCCATAGTAACTCCGGTGAATCTTTCGTAAGTTTTCTTCGATTTGATTATGGGAAGAATGTTCAGATTATGGAACCCTAGAAATTAAACTTTATATTCCCTTTCTGTTGGTTGGGAGCAGAGGAGGAAGGAGCCGAGAACAGCTGCAAGTGTGGGGAAAAAATTTGGGGCTTGGCGGTGTTGTATATATCCCCCTTTGTATTTACAAATAAGGGGCTTTCTTGTGAGGCCACGTTTGAAGTCACCACCTTTATTTTTTAGATAACCTTTTTTCCCCAATTGTTTTTCCTAAATATTTATTAGGTTTTTATTTTTTTTATTTTCTTTCGGTAGTTTTTTGGCATTAATTATTGCCACCTATCTCTAACACTACGAGACGTCCAGAACTTTCGTTTCCCCAACAATCTTATGCCCAACCACCACCACGATGAATGACTTTTGTCTTCTCATAAGCTTTCATTTTGAAATGAAGAATCCTTAAATTTAATATTGTATCAATTAGTATTTTTATTAATTTTTTATATACATCAAAATATTTAAATAATTAAATAAAATATATTTTCACCCAATGTATCAGATCTCAAATAGTGTCAAAGCTTGAATATCACTAGATCCTCTATAAATTAATTTTGATATGATTCATTCTCCTACATCTTTAAATCTTAACCACATTTCTAAAGGAAGAAATATACTTTATAATTCAAATTTCAAATTTATGAACTATCTAGACCTATCTAGAATTTATTGAAAAAATTCAAAACATTCATAAATATTGTTCATATTTTTAACAGGTCTAATTTAATCAGAAAATATATTATGATTATTAAGATAAGTATGATATCGACCTTACTCGATTAATCATCTACCACACTGATGTGACGTTAAATTACAAAGTTGATTTCCGAATCTAAAGGCATAGCATCTTTTGTACCGATCTGGTTCAACGTATGAAAAGAACTAACCGCTCAACTGCAAAGTGAATGTCCCATCTTTCAAAAGTCGAGAGCCACATGTCGCCATGCATGTGTAGAAGTCTCCCCTCCAATTGACACGTGTCCTGAGACACTCCCAAAGCACCACGATTAATCAAGTGTCATGATGACATTTAACTGTTTTACATTCTATAAATTGGAAAAATCAATAGATAAAAGAGGACACCAATAAAAATCAATACATAAATGAAAAACAACAACCAAAATGAAAAGTATGAACCCGGACTGACAGGTGTCCGGACGAACAGTTTGCACCACAAAGTGGCCAAAACACAAAAAAGTACAAAATGGCTACTGAAATCTAAAAGAGGGGTAGCCAATCTAGTCTATTCCCACAAGAGTACGGAGGCAGAGACGGGTCTCGTAAGGGTGGAAAATATGCCTCTGGAGTGTGGAGACATCGAGGCTCACCAGGAAGTCAGCAAGTCGGTTTTCCTCGCGGAAGATGTGCGAAATCTTGTTATGAACTGACTGAAGTATGGATCTAATGCATATGAGTGGATGCTGAATCTGCCACGAGTCCTGGTGGTCCGAGGTCAAGAGGATGATGACAACGGCAATATCCAGCTCAATCTAAATGTGAGTAGATATAGAAGTTACAATCTGAAGACCGATCTAGAGCGCCTGAACCTCTGCATCGTAGCTTGAGGAGGCCTGAAGAAGGGCGTGGAAGGCAATAACGAGAGCTCCGCTGTGATCCCTAATCAGACCTCCGCCTCTGACGACTCTGGTGAGTCAGTCGAAAGATCCGTCGGTATTCAGCTTAACCCAAGAGGAGTCGGGTCATAGCAAAACAACGGCTCTGGAGTATGGGTGCTAGACATGCATCAGTAGAGACGACATGAAACGTGGGGGTGGCGTGCAGCCTGTCTAGTCTCTAGGCGTGAGTTTGCCCAGAGCTGTGAGGCGGGAGAGATGTTGATCAACCTGCAAAACAATGTGAGAACACAAAAAAATAATATCTCTATGCTTACACTATTCCTCTATGTCGAAATGAACCATAGGATTAGACAAAGGAATGAGGAAGCCTACGTGTCTAAAGTGTGTGTGATGTTAGGAGCACAAAGAAACTGTTTGTAGTGGGTAGAGGTATATGAGTATAAGTGGCAAAATGCTCCCACTCTCTCCACAACCTCGCTCTCTAAAAACAAGTAGGAAAAAGTCTCAGTCTGGAAATCACCGGTCTCAGCACAAATGTAACACCACGAGGGGAAGGAAACCCTCCTCGCCTGTAGCACAGAGTCGATCGAAATCCGACGTAGAAGAAGGCGCCAAAGGAAGACAGAGATGGTCAGGGTAAGCAGGTTGATCCAAGTGGCCCCGAATAGAATGTTAGGTCAGTCACTCAATCGTACTTCCCCCCAGGCTGAGGTCGTAGAAAATGCACCCGAAGAAGAGATCACTCCACTGGCTAGAATCTAAATTGCAAAATACATTCATTTAAATTACAAAAGTTCAGACTCTTCTTGTTTGACTATAGTATGTTCTATTGACTATACATTAGATCACGAGCTCCACTCGTTCAATTGTCATCTGGATTCCCTCCAATTTCAGTTTACCTTAATGCCCAAGTTGAATTTGTTGAAGGATATCATTCTTCTTCTTCTTGAAGAGTGAATACTCTTATTACTTGAGAAGAGATTGTCGTATTCTTAGTACCTCCAGTTCGAGGACATCATACATACTACATAGCTTGATATGTATCCACAATTATCCGTCATTAGTCTTTTAAAATGACCTTAAAACTTGGACCATGTAAGCTCTCAACTTAGTGAGTTCATAATTCATATTGAATTGAATTTGTGATAAAATGAAATTAGTAGCTTGATGAAGTTTAATAATCAGGACTAAGAATGTGAAGATGTCCAAATTTCTCAAATGAGTTGATGCAAAATTGATGGAGTCCTTTTGGTACAACTCATAAAAGCTGCTCAACCAAACGAGCCATTCTTGAGCCAGACTTGGCTCAGCTGGAGTTTGGTTTGGCTCGTTTGACAAATGAGCTCGAGCTTGAAACTCGTTTCTTTACGAATTAGGCTCGCGTCAGTTCGATAAAGCCTGAAAAGAGAATTTTTATACAATTTTCTATAATTTGGCTCGTTAAAGCTCGAGATCGGCTCGTTAATATTGATAAACGTACCGAACTGGAGATCGTTTTCTTGCTCGTTTACTTACAAGCCGAGCCCTCGGCTCGTTATGGGCTCGAACTTGAGCTGGAGCACCCTGAGCTCAAGTTCGATTCGACTTGTTTACAGCCTAAGCTCCTTACATGTGTGTAACATAACATCATCAATGTGGGCCCCATGTCCTTCAAATAATTTGGTTCTCACTTGTACGTGTTTTTCTCTGTTTTTGCAAAATCCCACTCAGTCATATATTTATAACAGTAATGTTAAGGAGCCAACAGTCAATGAGAAAGCTTCATGTGGGGCTGTCTCACATGGCTCCAATGTGGGACAGCCCCACATGGAGTTGTTCCATTGGCTGTTGGCTCCTTACCATTATTGATATTTATGAACTTCAATACATGTACTCTTTTTGTTGATAAATTTTATGCACTACGATTCATATAGATCACCACTACACATATAAACTTCAATACCTATACTCCTTTTGATAAATTTCATTATACCGTGTTATGCACCTAGATCACCACGATGATGAGCATGCACCCACGCCATATAAGTGTGTAATTGTTCGTGATCATCAATTCCGTGTGGGCACAAGTGACATCAAGTTTACCTCTTTTGATTTATACACCTTTTCTCTTTTCCTTTTTACACACTTTTGAATTGGATCCGATGGATATTTGATGCTTTGAGTTGTGATCTTTTCTGTTCTAGCGTTTCTAATTGTGAAGAATCTTGGAAAAATGCTTCAAGAAACCAAAAGTGTTGATGATAAAGAAGATGAAAAAAAAGGATACGTGCTCCCTAGCAAGAGGTCTTCAGGAGCTTTAATAACAAGACATCTTTCCAAGAAATTACAGAAACAGAAAATGAATATCTATTGTGAAATACCACTGGGTAAATGACCTAATATAAAATGAACAGTTCATTCTTCTCCTCATTGGCTCCACCATTGAAGTTACAGAAATACGTCAAAACATTAGAAACACCTAATTCGAGACTTGCCATCTAACTTTGCATCAACTTAATTTTCTCAAATACAGGAATACGTTAAGATTTGTTGGTACTGCAAGTAATACTACTTTCACTAGAAGAATGCCTTATCAAGATTCATTTACAAATAAAAATAAATCATAACTAGTCTATTCTTCATCCTGTTCTTGATCCCTGATCCATTTCGTGGCCACCCATTTTTCACCTTTGATAACCGGACAGCTCCCATGAAGAGATGTCTGCACAAGTCCAAAACAACATTGAACAGTCGTTAGATCTCAATCGATAAAAAGCCAAGTTGCCTCAGACTCATATTATAGAATTCTGCATATGTAACAAACATATGCTAGAAACATTCCAAGTGTTCAATAGTGAGCTTTACTTATTGCATTGCATCAATAGTTTCTTCTAAAAAAATTTTACAATGAACTAGTCTACGGGTTTAAGCAACTATCAATAAACCATATGTAAGAACAATCTGTCCAGATTTCCTTTGCTAGTTCAAGCATTCACTAATTAAGCTTAAAGGACCAATCTTTTAAATAATGCCTCAGGAGTTATATTCGACCGCTCAACTAAGAAGACTCTTGGATCCAGGCACACAACATTGTCTTCTGTCATTATAATTATCCACACAACATAATATACTATTTTCTTCAGTTTCTTTAATATTTCCTGATACATTCCCATCTCCTGCTATGAAATGAATTCACACACGGACACGTACTGAATAAATAAAAAACGAGAAGGAAAAAAGATGCCTAACAATCACACTCATGTTAATGATATAAAAAATGAAAATGTAAAAAGAAAAAAGGAAGGAACCAAATCAATAATTGAAAATTTGCAGGAAGGTAGGTGCAGCAAAAGCACTTACAGGATCAATTGTACCATTTGGGAACAAAGAGTAAAACAGAAGTCCATCTCCCGTGCGAGGTTTTACTTTTAAGCCAATACATTGGGTAAAATCATAATTCCCGTCCATGTTTTGCCAATTCTGTAACATCCAAAAATATATTATCATTTGAAATCTACAGCAGTCAAGGCATCCACAAATGGGAGCTAAATATGAAGACCTCACCTCAAAAGGGAACATGGTTTCACCCCCTTCTTCAACATCAGATAAATAGAGCAGGAAAGAAGCAACCTGAAAAATTTTAAGCAGTTGGGGTTACTAATTTATTGCAAACAAAAAAAAGATATATATATATAAAATAAAAGACCAAACACATTAGTATAAAGTATAAGCCAGAAACATGGCTCAGCCATTTATTTTATTTTAATATCTATTTTCCCCAAATCTTCGCCTCAAGTAATGGTTTGATATTCAAGAAACAGCAAACACCCTAGACTATGCAAATGTGAATTAGAAAGATGCGGGGAAGCTTGTGAACTTTTCACATTGTTGCCACAGGGCATACAGTTATAAAAGAAATATAAATAGTATTTCGAATCCATCTTTCATCCATACCCTGGAGGAGACTGAAGTTTATAAGCAATCTCACATAACCGTTCAATATAACTACTCCACTCCTAGATCTCAACTTAGGCAGTGAAAAATGCCTAAAGAGCAATCTAAAATCAGACTTGTTTTACCCTTTGGCTCTTCTGTGGGCCGTATTCAGCAGGATTGAACGCATCATAATGTGATTGATATCTCTGGCCAATCTCATAACGCAGGATATTGTAGGGCTGGAACACAACGAATAAGAAATTAGAAATCTTATTAACTGAAATGGTCATTGTCGAGTAAGTCAAACAAATGCAAGCAGCAATACCACCATTCAAACCATATTGCTCTAACCAAAAGAAAAAATGGGAGAAAAAAACCACCGGTAAGATACTTAGGTCTAATATGGACAAATAGCACAAAGAAAACATTTTGCTGCAAATTTATGAAGAATTCTTGAATTAGGAAAGCCGTCTCTTACAAGTAAAAATATCAGCATTTTTTCTTTACTGCATTTGGACACAATATCACATGGCGGCTAATGGGATGTTTCAGAGTGATAAATCATTGCATTTCCAAAATGTGACAAAAAACAAGGATTCACAAGAGTATTAATTACAGTACGGTCTGTCAGGACAGAGCTTGATGGAAGACACTAGTGACCAGTTAAAATTTTACATCTAAGTAGAAAGGACGAGAATGAAGATCTTTGATGCTAAATAATTATGTAGTATAATATCATTATAGAAGCCCATACCTCTCCATGAGACCTCGGTATCATTGTTGCTTTAGCAATTTTCGCATCAATTTGATCCAACAGCCCAGTTTTGTCTTCAGAGGCGCCAACAAACATCCCAGAACTAAAAAGAACAACAAGAGTATATGTTACAATGAAATATTTTGATGTTAAACCCCTCAGGCGAGTAGGCATAAGAAAAAGGACTAGACATAATTGAATAGGATGCATATATGACAATGAGATCAACCATTCTTTCTGAAAATATCGGTAACCACCTTGTCCTAATTCCTTTAGTAGCTTCTGCTGTTTCTCCAGGACGAAGAGCTAAGGATGATGGTTTGAGCTGGACTTTTGCTATCTTAATAATGTTTTGGCATTGTTCTGCAGTAGCAAAATTTGGAAAATATAATGCTCGAGGATTCCAGCTCAGGATCTACATACAAAAATCAAGCACAAAAGTTAATGTACAAAAATTAAAAATATAAGAGACACACCAGCTTAACATGATACAACACCTCTATGGTCTAATATGTTCTTCAATTAGTTCCAGCAACTTAGACCCGCTTAATGTAGAATAATCAACAAAAGGATCATCAATAACACAAAGCTGATCATCATTGTGGGCTTAAAATCATCTCTTTTACAAACTAAAGTTTTACTTGCACCACTAGCAGGATGCCATTGCCATATAGAACAGCCACAATGAAATATCCATCTGATAAATCAGTTTCCAATAAATGTGATGATGCTTCATCAACTATACAGCTACATTCCTTAACTTTCTCGTACGGAATCCATTCATAAACTTACCTATTTGTAAAGTCACACATTATAAATCCCCAAATGATAACCTCGGGTCGCCAAAATCTATTTCTACTAAAAAGCTAGGCACCTAGCAATCTGCATTCGTGAACTCAAGGAACATAATATCCCAGACTCACAGTGGGAAAGTAGATTGGTGGACAAGTGATTAATATCTAATTAGCTTTTCCTTTAGAAATTTAACACCAAGCTGACCACTTATGGTTCGCCATATCACATTAAACAAATCAGTTCACTCCTCAACCAGCACCAGCCAATAAAAACTACTGTACTCCCTGACAGATTATTCAGACAATCACCCAAAAATTAGGGGAAAATAAAAGAAAAACAAAAACTCCACCTGAAAGGGAATCCTCTCCACAGAATCTCCGCCAGAATCCCCACGTGGCAGCGTCTCGAACTCCACCCTCTTTTCTTCCTCCGATCCCAGCTTCCGGGGCTTCAAATTACCGGTCACGTCCTGATCCTGCCGTCAATAACTAGTGTTAACTAAATCGATGGATCCATTTTCATAATTATATACATACGACAAGAGAGTACGGGAAAATAAATGGGAAACAATCACAATAAAACACCAACAATTGAAGTTGACGCACCTGCGAGAAAAGTGATGAACCGAAAAAACCGGCGAGAAAGAAGAAGAGGCACAGGAGGAAAATCGACGGCAACCTAAGGCTGGTCCAACTTCCTCCCCCAATTTTATTTCCTTTGATCTTCATTGTGAGCGTGATCAGGGATAACTACCTCAATTTCTGCAACTTTTTCTGTAATTCTTTATATCATTTAAGTCATGCACGAGCTTGAAGGAGAAGAAAGGTAAAGAATCATGAGCTACGGGACTTCCTACAAGGCGGGAACTCTCCTTTTACTTTGCTTCCCTCTATGTGTCGTCTTCTCAAAATCTTTCATCAATGATAAAAGGTCAAGAGTCGTGGCAATTTCGATCATTTTTTAAGGAAAAGGTTCAAGATTCAAGAATAATGCGATGCTTGACTTTCTTTCAAATAGTTCATGATTTATTTTTTTTATTTAATTTTATTCAACTACTACGCAGCCTCGTGATGTTGGAAATTAATTAGTCAAAATTCAAACTAACAATTTTTATTTTTTTTTTCGAAATGATAGAAATTTTATATAATTAAAAATCGCAAAAGTGCGAAGATCCGAAGATCACCAATAGGCTAACCTAATAACGCTAGAAAACATACTCACGACAACACAAAACACAAAAAACTACTAACTCCCAAACAAGAGACTAAAACGATCTCAACAGAATAATACCCGCTCTCACTCGGGCAAAAAACAGGGATCAAGGACCCAAACCAAAAAAACAAACCCTACCAAACAAAACCAAACAAACGAATACACGAGAAGAAGTAAAATTGAGACAACTACAAATAATAAAGCGCCCTTCCTCAACAAAACTACTGAACAAACAATCGACCCTTTAGGAATTATCCGCAACCCGAGAAATCGTTGAAACTACCAAAAAATCTATCTGAAGCCGAAAAGCCTATCTGAAGCGGAAAACCCAGGCCTCAGACCCAACCTGTGAGCAGACCTTCCCCTTCGCTGACGGCCAAAGAAACCCAATCGCTCCCCTCAACACCACAGCCTCGAACCGGCTAACACCACTAGCCAACAACAGAGACACAAAGGAAAGGGGTTGGAAAGGGCACCTCAGCCCGCACGATGCACCAGCGGCCACACGGCCAAACTCACTAGAGTAGAACTCAGCCAAAGAAGACTGCTCCCGAAACTGCCGATGAAGGCCTAGCAGAAACCGCATCCCAAAACTTCAACCCACTCCAAAAGATGACCCGCCCCGCGGCCGGAAGAGAAGCAAACTCCACCACTCCCACCCCCGCTGGCACGAACTCGACTAACACCACTAGCCGAATTCGACCGCTCGGAGACCCCATGAACCCAACTCAGGAGAAGCAGAGGAAAGGGGCGAGGAAGATGCCACATCCTTAGCCCCGGCCGCCCCGACGCCGACGTCGCAAGTGGCCCGAGCCACACCCAGCCTCGACAACGAACCCCACCCAGCAACCTCAACACATAGGAAGACGACGATGAGAGGAAACCTGAAATTGGCTAAACCGTCGCAAATGTCCGACATCAATCTCTATGCAAACCGGCTAGAAAAGGTGGCAATCGGGCCAAGGGCGTGCAGCCAAGGGCCAACCGCCGGTTAGGGGGTCTAGCAACCCGCTTAAGAAGGCAACGATGACAGATGTGGAAGAGAGCTCTGACTGCGGAAAGGATCTGAGTGTGTGTGTGTGTGTGTGTGTGTGTGTGTGTGTGTGTTTAGATCCAAACTAACAATCAACAAAAAATAAGTTTATTATTTAAAGAAAGTAACCTCTTATGGTACCACCTAATCCCATCTCATTTTTCTATTTGATAACACCTTTATCAACCAAATCTCGTGAACTTTTTTTTACACTTCCCGCCTCTCGCAGTACCACCTAACCCCATCTCATTTTTCTATCTGATAGCATCTTTATCAACTAAATTCCATAAACTTCATTTTACACTTTCCAATATGTCACATCATTTAACACTGTTGTAACATGTAAAAAGAGAAAATATATTTTGTGGGAATCCTTAGATATAATGGTGTGTTTAATGTTACTAATGTAAATGCTCAAAACATTTTGGCAAAACATAACTGAAAGGTTTGTTCGGTTTTGAGAAGTGAAAATAAAATTCAAAGTTTCATTACTTTGCCTTAATGAAGGCATCAAAGCATCTTCTCTTCATAGATTGCAAGTATATCTTATGATGACTATAAATAGTGCGTGCAAGCTTATAGTAAGGACCCAAATGAAGGAAAAGAAAAGGAACATATACATATCTTCTCTTTCATCCTCCAAAGACTTAGAAAAATTAGGGGTTCATCGCAACTAAGATTTTGATCGAGGTGAGTGTGTTAGATAGTGTAGTCTTCACACTTTGAGTCATCTTACCCTGGAAGAAAATGCGTAGTACTCGTTGCACAGTATCGGGGCATCTGTTTCTCCAAGGCAAATAGATTTTCTATGAATCGGCTACGTGTGTTCTATGGCAATATAGAACTATTAGTTAAGTTGTTATTTTTATAATAAATTTATTTATTTACTAATAGAAATATGGTTTCATCTCACGTTTCTGTGGTTGATGTTTGTGGTTTCTATTTACAAGTTCTTAATACATATATGTGTTGAAACTCGTTTTTAATTGGTCATTTTATCATTAATTTCTACAACAATCTTGAAGAAACATATGTTGTGATCAAAACAATATTTTTTAAAAGTGTTATACGTATTTGTTTTATTATTTTTTCTTATCCATATATCATTATGGCAAGTGGTTCTGGCACCAAATTAATTAATGTTATGTTGAATTCAAAAGTCGATTTCTCCGACTTACCGGTTAAAATTTTCGAGGCAATTTTTCAAACGTTGAAAACAATGAATGAAAATTTGGCTTATGATGAAATGACTTTTGACGGTAATTCAGGTGGCTAGGCCTGAACTGATAAGGATCCCAAAGCAACTGAAATTGCTCAGTGGAGCGAAAGAGATCAAATAGGTCGATGAGCTATTTTGTCAGCTTTGTCAAATACGCTCTTTGATGTTTATTGTTCTGATTCCTACACTAAAAAGTCGTCGTGGGATGAGTTGGACAAGAGATATAATACTGAAGAGCAAGGTCTCAAAAAGTATTATGTTTTTAAGTTCCTAAAATATGAGATGGCTAAAGGAAAGTTTATATCTAAGCAGACACATGAATTGATCAACTTGGAACATTCCCTCACTGATGCTGATATGAAATTTCCTAAAAAGTTTTTGGTTATGTCAATTATTGATGAATTTCTAAAGTCTTGGGAAAGTTTTGGAATGTCGTTGAAGCATTAAAATGGGAAACTGACCCTGGATGATTTAATAATATCAATCAACATAGAAGAAGAACATCTAAAAGAAGTTCTTAATATGCTATTTGAACTTAACACTAATATGATAATGGAAAAAAAAAAAAAAAAAAATTAACCATGCAAATACAAACATCAAAATGACCAATAAGGACAAGGTTAAAGCTAAAAATAAGAAACCCAAAGCAAACAAACCATGTTGGAACTGTGGACAGGTTGGACATTGCATTAAAGATTGTCTGACGAAGAAGTTAAGGTCAAACCTGGACTTTAGTATAGAATAAGGTATCGCGAGCAACTTTAATGGGAGGTCTGACAGATTTTTGAAAGAATCGAAGATTATTCACGCATATCAAGCGCTGCCACCTGAATAAAATTTTGTGAGTCTCTATGTCTAGCATTACTTCATATTATTTGACGTATGGTCAAAAGTGTTTGTCAGAGTTTTGAGGTTTGTTTAATGGTATTGAGACTTGTTTGTTGTTTCTCTTGTGGTCGTTTTCAATTCATCCCTGCCAATTCACTGGAACAACCTTCTTCTTGTGTTTGCAGATGACAAATATTATACTTGATGATTATGTGATGGACGACGCATGGGATTAACACTTGGTTATTACCCTTTTATTGGTGAGATTTGAACTTATGAGCATATATTGAATATCGTGCTCCATTTTCTTGAATGTGTGATGTCTCATTTAATTGATTTTTCTAGAACTTGCTTTGCTATGCATGTCTATGTGTACACTTTTGATGAACTTGAATGCACAAAATTAGAATAAGGATAATTACGACTAACCTTTTTATCGTTATTGCCTTTATTTTGAAGTCTACCCTTTTTCACAAACCACTAGTAATCCCCTTTGAGCCTTAGCCTTTTCTTTGAGCTATGACTACGCTACAAGCTATAATATCCTTTTCTTGATACCATCTTTTGAACCTTGAATCGAATCAATTATATAATATTCTTTTAGATGAAGAAGAGCTATTGTTTTATGTACTTCGATTTGATCATGCGTTGTACGTAGTTTTGCTATCCGACATCTGCTATATCTTCTCTATCAACAAATAAAAAAAACAGAGAAAAATAAAGAAAAATAGAGAGGATGATAATTCAAAGAGTATTGTGTTGGGTTATTTCTATGTTGGTTGCATGTTGAGATCGCATGATTATCTTGTCGTTTATGTTTGTTGAGCTTGGTTTATGAGGAGTTTGTATGATTGGTTCGATTCCGTTAGACTTTATGTTTCTTATCCCACCTTAACCGAAGCCCCATTACAATCCGTTTTTAATTCTTTGATTTTGTGTTTATTCATATTCATTTTGGGTGGTTAGATGTGATAACTTTGCAAGCTTATGGTAAAAATCTTCGATGTCTTGAGCGTACACTTACATCTAGCCTATACACTTTGAGTGAAAGAGTGAATCTCGTGAGAAGTGTTGATTTCCATGTGTTTAAGTTACGTAATTGTTGGGTGTATTTCTCATTGGTCGGTTAATAGGGACTCAAGTTTAACTTGTGTTGATGCATGCTATATGTTTTGAGTTGGCATTAATTGGATGATAGATGATGATTACGAGTTTGAGATAATGAATTTGGCTTGATGTTTGAGAACAAACATCATTTTAAGCGTGGGGGTGTTTGAAAAGTTGAAAATATGTGTTTCTATTATAGTAAAATTTGGACTATGTGTTGGATATTTGTGCTTAAGTGACGTGTTTTCGACTTTATCATGTGTCTTCGAGTAAAAACTACAATTGTTGATATTTTTGATGCAGTTAGATCGTATGAGCTCGACTTGGCGCACATATACCATCATGGCGCACTGGGTTTTGTTGAACATGGCCATATCAATATAAGCGGATGGTGCACAACTTATCATTTCTTTAACATGGGCCTGTTAACACCAAGCCCAAAAGAAATATTAAAAGACCACTCGTAATGAACAGAGGGAGAGGAGTTTTTGAAGACACCATAGAACAGCCTTAAGGAAGAGGATCTGGCCTGGAAGTCTCAATGCTTGGATCAGAGAGCTCATTCCTTTGATCTTTTCTCTAAATTTCTTCTATACTTTTACTAGATTTACGGAGGCCCTTCGCGGCTAATTCTCTTTCACTTCAGTTGAATACGATTGAACCCCTGAACTTAATACTGTGAGATTTAATTAATTTTTATCTATTAATTCATATTTCGTATTAATTTTATCTAATTAGTTTTTATTTAATTAGTTTTTATCTATTAATTCATACTTCATATTTTGAATTTCGTATTTAATGATTTTGTGTTAGGATCGTAGTTTGATCAACTATTATCTTGTGCACATAATCTATTGCTTAGTAGATATTGAGTCAGATTTAGATAATTATATATCGTAAGAAGCAACTGAGTGTGGTAATTGACCGGATTTAGGCATTATCATTCTTAGACAAAATAATTATACAAGTTAATATTTAACGGATTAGTTATTTGTTGCTTGTGTTGTCGGTCTCTAGTTCTTAATGTCATTACTAGGATAATTTTACACGATGTTGGAAATTGCCGAGTAATAAGGATTGTGTAGAATGATTTATTTTGCATAACCATTTTAGGAGATAGAATTCATCATTCAACGACAATGTATTTATGAATTGATAATATTTGCATCAAGAATCAGTAGAATAATTCGGGGCGGAAACCAATTCAACCGGAGCACTTTATTTATATTTTTATCTTCATCTTGTTGTCTACTTTTGAATCTTTTATTTAAGAATGGTTTACCATTACTCTCTTTATTTTCTTGTTAATTGAATAATTAGGATTATAAATCAAATCTCCCCCATTTTAATCACTTAGTTAGAGTCATCTAATTAAATTATTCATCGTGGATACGATCCTCACTCACGCTACTACACATTGTTAAATAAGGTTTATTTGAGTGCCTACGACAACACGACCATGTTCATGTTTGTCCTGAGACTCGATTAATCACTCATAATTTTTTAAACATTTTTATACACTTTTTATTTATATCTATCATTATATAAAAAGAATAACCTTTTTACAAATTTAGAAACTTTTTCCCGCCAAAATCATTAAATATATCCTATATATAGTAATTGTTGGACAAATCTGAATAGGCAAAAAAATCCACTCATTAATTGTGTAAAGATTTGTTTCTCTTTTTCCTGTTTCTTAGTTTATCGTTTTAATAATAAATATTTGTTTTTCTATTTCCTATTTTTAGTATAAATCTACACGAGTTTATCTCTTCTGTTACAAAATCCCATTGCATACGATTTTAGGTGTTTAAACAATCTCATCTCTTATCTATACAGATTTGAAAAAATAAAATAAAATAGAAATCAATTCATAATTACTACTAGAAATCCATTATCTTTAAAAAAAAAAAATAGAAACCAATTCATAGTTACTACTAGAAATCCATTATCTACTTTAAGAAGCTAATTTTCATCGGTCTAATTACTAATATTTTTACAAATATTCTAAGCTAACCATACAAAAAAGTATAATGATAATTTTGAAATGGTGTGTAATCAAATTTTTTTATGTTCTCTTATACAAAATCATTTTACATTGTCCCGAATCTTTAATTTATAATTATTAAGTATTGTTTATCCTCCTATTTTATTTATAATTATTTTTTTTTCTTCCTCTTTTTAAATACGATCAATAATAGTTTTCACTTCCGCCATTGACTCAAACTCGAGGTCTATTTATAATATTGTTAATTTAATATTGTTCCCGTGCATCGCACGGGGTACACACTAATTTAAAGGAAATTAATTGTGTATGAGTGGCGCCCATACGGTGGGGAAGAACTCATCCTTCAACCTTCGCCCTTCGCCCTCACAGTTTCTTCCTAAACTTCTACATTTTCTTCAACAATCACTTCATTTCACAATATCAAAACTCAGTTTAAGCTCAAGAACTATACAAGAACTTTCATATTCTGCACAATCATTCTTGTGCTACACAAAATNATAGGCAGTACTCCTCAAAACTTCAACCAGGAAACTAAATATTTACACATATATATATAGAAAAACTAAGAAGAAATTAAGCAAGAAACTTTACTGAATATACTTAAAAAAATATGAAGGACCTGGGTTTTCAAGAGAGACCCAGCTGAAAACCTAAAGTCACAAATTAATATGCATCACTATGTTAAAAGATCCACTCCACAGATCCACTCCAAATTTGTAACAAAAAACACAAGATCTAAGGAAGAGAATCAGAACACCAAAACGCAAACACGACTCAAACAGCTAGCAGAACACCATATACAAAACCCATATACTATTTTTCAGCATAACAAAAAACAACAACAAAAAGAAAAAAAAAAAAAAAAAAAAAAAAAAAAGGAAAGAAAAAAAGAAAAAGTTTACAAAAAGTAAACGTGAGATATTTTCTGGCCCTAAGACAAGGAGGCTAACCGTACATCTTTACAACCATGACGGGTTTTGAAAAACTTTTATGAATTAAACATAATAGAAGAAAATCTCAAGGGCATTTTCATTTCAAAACTTAGTTGGAGTTTCAGTAATTAGGTCAAACCTCCAACGTACTTTTGGTAATTAACCCTAAAAATTAAAGAGTCGACACATTCGAGTGACTATGGCCATTGCAGTTTTTCCTCCCGCTCAAAATATCAAATGCCATTACCATATCCAAGCCTGTTAGAAAGGACTCCAAGATGCTCCAAAAGCCCGTCAGAAAACAATGTCTTTCTTACATTTCAGATCACCTCCATCACCTCCCATGACATGATTTGCAGTAACCGACACTCCAAATGATTACATTGGCGCCCCAGTCCAAGAACATCAGGGAACGTGTATAGCCTAAGATCAGAAGTTACCATCCATCCAGTCAAGAACCAGTTGCTCATAAATTAGGTAAATTTTTTGCGCCAGCTCAATACATTAGACATTTTCGCCTCAACTTTGTCCTTAATTGTCTTTTTCCCTCTTCTAGCATCTTCAATATCTAGAGTTCTATAGGCCAGAGCAAGCAAATAGACTGCTGGATGAAGTCTTCTGCAGATAAAACTAAATATTACACAACTCGAAATCGAAAACAGTCTTCAAAAGAGTAGCTAACTGATAGCCACTAACTAAGCTAATATATTCTAGTTCTTGCAAAAATTAATGAGTCAGCACAAGTTTTAGTTTCTGGTATAGGCAAAGTTTCTTTTCGGTTAAAACTGTGCTGGAAATGAAATTTGAAAGAATTTTAGGAGCTACAGATTACTTACTCCTCACTATGTGCATTGGTATCCAAACTGTCCCAATATCTTTGTCCTGGAACAGTTTTTCCTTTATTATCTCTTCCAAATGTCTCTATGTACCACCCTCCTATGTCATGCATCGCACTACGAGGCTCAAACAACCAAAATCTGTACCACAAGAAGTTTAAATATATTTCGTAATAAGAAGACACAAATGATTTGGGTTGCACTAGCAAAATACTAAGGTAGCAGTGTACGGCTAGTAAGACAGGATGATTTATGATTTAATTTTACTAGCAAGAGTCAACATAGACAGGATGATTCAGTGATGCCGTCAGTGGTTTGATAACCCAATGAAATGGAACGAAGATAATTATCTGTACAAGTAAATGATGAAAAAAAGTGAAAGCTCTCAAAAGAGTAAAGAACAAAGCGTTAAATGGGTAGAAAAAGAAACGTGAAAGAGGAAATCCGCAGCAATTCCTGAAAGTATATCTTGGCAGAAACAGAAATAGAAAGAGAAGAGCAAGACATAAAAACATTAAAATTACCAGAAAGCTCAATTGATCATATACTGGAAAATTCAGAAGTATGCTGCTTACTTGCTTGGTGGCAAACGGGCTCGAGTACATCTGCATTCACACACTGAAACTTTTTCTCCAACATGAAACCAATGCAAATGTTTCACCTGAAACATACATGTGCCTATGCGATGAACACATGAAATCCATAACAAGGACTAGCTATTGGAATCTACATAAAAATAAAGCCATTGTTAGGAACTCTTATTTCTACATTACAAATCTAGCATATAAGCACACTCAGGAAAACAACACATAAACCAAAGAAAATAGTACCACTTTTCACCCAACTTTCCCCCCTTTCGACCAATATAACTTTTAAATAAGCTCAATTGTTACGACATGTTTCCTAAATTTACAATTCATTCAAACACATCTCCAACTATCCCTCATTATTTATTATTCTTACATCACATCAATTTTAATAGTTACATTTTCATCTTATATCCAATCACACTTTCCAAATTCTTCTTTTCCTTAACAAAATTGTTTCCAAATTGATAAAGGAAAAATATACTTTTATTATGCGACACGTGGCTCGGTAAATTCGAGACACGTGTGTTCAAAGGGCCGTGAGTGTCTAATGCTAAAACTATGGTCCAACCTCAGTTTCGAGCCCAAGGTCCAGAGGAAGCGCTTTTTCCAAACCTTGGTCCACCAAATTACTGGGCTAGGGAGTCCTTTTATAGCAAGAAACTCGACTGTCTACCTCTGCAGCAGTACCAGATATACACAAATATACACCAAGATGTTCATCTAAAAATATCCCATTGCTTATTTTCTCGCGCACATAAAGTGGGGAACAAATGATAAAGAAAAAAAAATCTACTTTTATTAGACGACACGTGGCTTGGTAAATTAGAGACAAAGTGGCTTGTTAAATTAGAGAATGTGTATCCCAAGGACAGTGAGTGTCCAAGGTTAAAACTAAGGTCCAACCTCATTTTTGGGGCAAAGGTCCAGAGAAAACCCAGTGAAAATTATTAGGTTGAGGATTTGCAAAGGGAAAACCTAGGTCGTCGAATACCTAAAAAAGGACGACCTAGGTAAAGGTAAATAGTTCTATAAACGAACCGAACCGAAGGGCTTGGGTTGTTCGAGCTCGTGTTCATTTACATTCGAACAGTGTTCGTGTTCGTTCGTTTATTTTTCGGGCAAAAAATTGTGTTCGAGCTCGTTCGTTTAATTGTTCGTCAAAGTTCGAGTTCGTTCGTGTTCGAATAATTTAATACATAAACTTCTTAAATATGTTTAATTAACTAAAAATTTGTTCGTTCGAACTCAAAAATAAAAAATTAATTTTTTTTTTTATATTTTAGATTTTTTTATTAAAAATATTATGTAAATATAAAAAAATAAAATAAAATTATATTAAATTAATGTTCGCGAACATTATTAAACGTTCGCGAGTGAGCTAATGTTCGTTTGATTATTAAATGAGCCTAATTTTCTGTTCGAACTCGGCTCGATTAACAAACGAACGAGCTTTTGTCGAACACGAATGAGGTCGAACGAGCTTTTGTTCACGAATGTTCAGTTTGTTTGCAGCTCTAAAATAAAGAGAACATTCTCTCTTCTCTTCTATACCTAATCCACCCTAGTTCTAACTTAAGGATTAGAGGATCTACCCTTAGGGCCAACCTCTATTACCCTAGGGCTCTGTTTTGCAGGCGTCGGTGCAAAGGAGTCATGCTCAGGAGGAGTCGGAGCATACATCGTTGCCACATGTCTCGGCTATCGTCCAGATACTTTCTGTATCACCACAAACGCTTTTCTCTAATGTAAACAAAATTTCATCGAAATCATATCCAATTGCACTACTTTTTTGCCCACATGGAAAAGGTATATTAACCAGACATTGTGTCCACCAAACACCTCGGGTTATAAACAAAAGATGAAAGAAAACTAATTCTCAAATTTCATTAAAATAAGATTTTATTAGTGAAGAGATTTGTAGTATTTTATGCATGAGTACTTAATATGTCGATGCGGATTTTTCCAATGATCATTTACTATCACATTTTAAGCTTCACAATTAACATGAGTTATGAAGAACTTCGTTCAACTTTTTCAGCTTCCTAACCTTTCCCTTCAAAATTTTAAATTTAGTGATGGTGGTCCAGTTCTATGTTTATTTTGGAAATTAAACGTACCAACAACGTTCGATGCTTCATAATCATATGTGTCTTAACACCAGCACCATTGTAGACATAGCAAGTCGCTTCTTCCGAAGTGCTCCCCAGACCTTTTATAACTCCCAAGAGAAATTCAGATTCCAGCGAAGAATCTGCAAGCAATCGGTCCTCGCATGAAGCAAGATAAACATGTATCAGGTCTAGAGAATCCTCATCCTCACTCGCATCAACACTTCCAGGTGGAGTCCTTGTAGCCACAGCAATAACTCTACCCGATAAGTGCAACTCTAAATCTCTATATGCATCGGACAATAGAAAATCAGCATGACTGGATTGCTTCAAGAAGCCCAAATCTTCATTTGCATCACATTTTAACCTTCTGCTCACATTATGAGAAAATAGGACCGAATTCAAAGCCGTGGAAGCTAGTTTTTCAGTGTGTGCACACGATAATTGATATTGCTTATCAGCTAAGCATACCATCCCAAAAAGGTCTCGACCAGAGACCAAGTGTAGTACCTCTCGAGTGGTTTGCACAGACCTCTCCTCGGCCTCGAATCGGTCGGGAAGGCGATCCACAGACTCAATCTCGGGTCCATAATATGCCGCACGCATGGCGGAATACAAGTCCCTCTCCAGTATATCGAAATAACCTGACCCAGATGTCACTCTTCTTTCAGATAAAATATCATTGATTGCATGTCTGTACCATTTTAACCACTCCACGACCTCCATCTGCTCAGCCATGTGCTGGTGGGAGTTGTATTTGAAGATGGTAGCACTCCGCCTATAGTTTTGCTCTCTGGGGACCCGTTTCGACAGAAGATGGCGATCATAATGAGCTCTCTTTGTAGAGTCCGAGAGAATCTGAGTTTGAATTACGAAATAACTCCCATAAGAGCTTGTAACCCAAAAAATATGTTTTTTTGACTGGAAAAGAACTTATCATTAACAAATCAACCAGAAACTAAATCAGTACAAATAAGTTCCTTAAGCCAAGACGGGAAAACATCCACCTCCCAAAAGAAAGGGGAGTTTGAAAAAGAAGCAAATTTTGCAAGTGCATGAGCAACATTATTAGCCGAGCGACGCATATGGCGAAGATGTCTAGACTCTGCCGCTTGAGACATGAGAACATCAATATCTTTAGCCCACGAGCGAATATAGCCATGTGTGATACATGCCTTGCAAATGTATTCAGCAGTATGTGGAAAACTTAGGTTTCCATTTGGTATTTACTGATTGAAGGTGGAATTTGCATATGATTAGTGATTAATACGCATACGATGAAAATCCTTCTTTTGAAACTCCTGGGTTCATCAACCATTGTCTTTTCGAAACATTATACAATAGTTCCTCAAGTTTCTATGTATTGCACCTCGTTCAGTACACACTAAACAGTATGATCAGATTAACTATATCCTATCCGCAAGATCATACAGAGTACTGTTCTTATACTTAGGAAACAGATTGGGCCTCGAAATGACTAAATAAGTACTCAAATTTCAAACTAACACAAAATCGACAGAACTTTTCAAGGAAACAACGGATAAATTACGGACATGAGAAAGAGAAAATACCTCGTATGCAGCGAGGACTTGAACGAATTTGCTAGAAGCTAAAGAGGAATGGTTTTGCGAGTGAGCAAGGTCAGGGTGAGTTTCCTTGGCCAATCTACGAAAAGAGGCTTTGATTTCTTCTAATGAGCTGGTCTGAGGCACCTCGAGGATATCGTACGCGGTCATCCCGGCCAGCTCGGGAGGACCAGCCGTCTCGGCGTTGGTGCTGAGCCACCGCTTGCGGAGGAAATCGAGGCACGAAAAGAAAATAGGTTGATAAGAAACGACAGCGTTCGCGCAGCAATCGGATGAAAATTCAGTCGGAATCGAAGCGACCCAACGCCGGCGACGGCAGAGGAGTCGGTGGAGATAGATGTAGCACGCCATACCGATTGCGGTCTGGGAGTGAGGCCGGGAACGGCAAGTGGGTGGTTATTTTACGGTTTTCGCCTTTTT